TTTTTTTTTCTAACTTCTTTGGTTAATGTGCCTGCCAAGAACGGTGTGGGCTCAAATTCTGCCCATACCGTGACGTGTAAGCGTACTTGTTGTGTCTCTTGGCAAGGCTATTTACATCAAATGCTTGCCACAATATCACCTTATATGTGTTGATGTAGAAGTTAACACCTTTAATTCAATAAATCAGTTATATATCCTCTACATTTTGACTTGCTACTCGACTTTTAATATAATTATTAGAAACGTAAATTGCATTACAAAGATGATGACGAGGAAACCATTGTCGACGTATTGCTAATTAGCTTGTATATTTGACAGCCCTACAATTTCGTAGAGAGACGAAATGCTGCAAAAAGTAAAACTTAATTCTATCTGTTATTTTTTTTTCTAAATTGAAGATCAGTGTCTGTTTCAGAAGATATACAAAGAAAAAGTCAATGGCTTCTGGTGTCATTTTGTACAGGTTGTTGACTCAATAATACCCTAACGACACTTATTTTGTTTTTCGTGAGAAGCATACAAACAAACCAACAAGCAGTCTGTTATAGCATGTTTCGTCAATCTTTATAATCAACCAATCTCTCTCTCTCTCTCTCTCTCTCTCTCTCTCTCTCTCTCTCTCTCTCTCTCTCTCTCTCTCTCTCTCTCTCTCTCTCTCTCTCTCATCTGTTTAATACATTCTAATTTCCTTTTCCTTGCATGGCTAATAAATCCATTTCTTTTTTCACAACATAACAAAATCTTTATAACCTCAAAAACTACATATTGATGGCGCATGCGTATTTCACAACTTAATGGTAGAAAGTAATAAACTGCAACTTCGTAAAACCGAAGCCTCAAGATCGAATTTTATCTTTAGTCCATATACTTGACACTGATAAAGACGGGGGTTGACAGTATGCCAGTGTCCATATACTTGACACTGATAAAGACTAGGGTTTACAGTATGCCAGTGTCCATATACTTGACACTGATAAAGACTAGGGTTTACAGTATGCCAGTGTCCATATACTTGACACTGATAAAGACTTGGGTTTAGAGCATGTCAGTGTCCATATACTTGACACTGATACAGACTAGGGTTTACAGTATGCCAGTGTCCATATACTTGACACTGATAAAGATTATGGTTTACAGTATGCCAGTGTCCATATACTTGACACTGATAAAGACTAGGGTTTACAGTATGCCAGTGTCCATATACTTGACACTGATAAAGACTAGGGTTTAGAGCATGCCAGTGTCTATATACTTGACACTGATAAAGATTATGGTTTACAGTATGCCAGTGTCCATATGCTTGACACTGATAAAGACTAGGGTTTACAGTATGCCAGTGTCCATATACTTGACACTGATAAAGACTAGGGTTTAGAGCATGCCAGTGTCCATATACTTGACACTGATAAAGATTATGGTTTACAGTATGCCAGTGTCCATATACTTGACACTGATAAAGACTAGGCTTTACAGTATGAAGTCATTGCACTATTAAGGGCACCAGCTTTAAATTGAATTATTCATAATTAAATACCTGTAGGTAAATCATTAAAGAAATATTTAAATCTGTTTGTTATCTAACTATGAGTGACGCTATTAATTTGTATTAATGATCAATACGATTTTTTTTCTAAATTAAATACCAGTGCTAAGCATGTGGCATCACGTTTGATGCTTTATCGACTGATACCGATAAAACGGTATTCTAAAAGCCAGATTAAATCTATTGATTTTTAAACGAAAAAGTCTGTACATAGGGCCTACATTATCCATAACTCATATTTTCTTGACTCATATGAAAGGATTTCAGAACGACCAGGTAAGAGTCGTTATGACTAAACTAGCCTTATAGGATAAATTACGTCTGATCAATAAGCATGAATCCGTACGAAAACTACATTGAAGAAACTGTGGGGGGGGGTGCAGAGGGATTCAACATTGTAACATCCACCGTTTCGGATATTCCAAAGAAAAATGGAATTCTGCAACTATTATTTTGATAACAACATTCAACTATTTGACAAACTGAATGATCTTGTGTGATAATGGTTTATTCAAGCTGGAACCACACACACACACACACACACACACACACACACACACACACACACACTGAAAACCTCTGGAATTCGATCTTGAGGCTTCGATTTTATGGAGTTGCAGTATGACCTCGCTTTTAAGTCGAGTTCAACTGCAAACTGCATATATCTTGATAGCATAATACGTGAACAGATATGCGTCTTTGCAGCTTATTACGAGTAATACATAGAACAAGCTATATAGGCCCTGATCTCTGGCGCATTTTACGGCGGAATATCAAGTTCTATGATGATTTTTAAGGCACGAATCTTATAGTCAAAACAATGACAGAACAAACGGCAAAGGACATGCTTGACCTGGCTGCTTTCCTGGCACTATAGACGGTATTTCTTTCCTGAAAAATTATTTTTAACATTTCCCTTTTCTTATGTTTGCAAACTTGTATATTGTGGTCAGTGTAACTGTACATAGAACTTTAAAACGCGCACGTTCTTGTGGTGAAGTGTGGTACCTCAGAGCAATGGAACCACATTACCACCCCAATATACATATCCTTATAGTGTAGAGCGGTACCTCAGAAGAATAAAGCCACATTTTCACATGTATTTATATCACTAACAGGACATTCTTGTCTTGTCTGAAGAATGCATCCGATGAAAAAAACTGCTTATATGTTCTCTCGAAATGCACGGGGACTTGTATAAAGTATATACATTTTGACATGTCCTCTAAAAACTGTAACGAATTTTAAGAGTCATCATACTGCATTAGACGTAATGAAAGTTGTAATTGGTAATCTTCAATCTCTCCTTTTAGGGTAAAGTAAATACACGTGACCACTTAAGCAAGTTGAAGACTCCATCTTAAAAAATAGGGTCTCCGATACTAAAACTGTGTTCACCATGCAAGGGCTGATCCTGGAATGTCGTTTGCTTTTGCTGAGGGTGGATGGAGGTGGCGGCATAAACAATTAGGCAAGGGGCCAGCGAGAGTGAGGCCCAGAGGAGAAGCCCAAAGGCCCAAGGAAGTACTTCAATGTAAAGCTTGTGTCCAAGGTGTGACTTCAACCATTTAACTGTAACGAAAACCTACAATCGTTCCGGTTGTTCACACACAGGTATGGGGAGTAGTGTCCTTGCCCTGTAACGTGTCGCTCTGCTAAAACGGCTTCAGCGGTTTCGCAAGATTGCTTTTCAAAACTAATACGTAAAACAACATTTTCACGATTAATGTTTCAAATATGGTCAAAAAGAATTGTAGACTATTACGGACAAAATGAATTGCAGAGTATTATGTGCAAAAAGAGTTATAGACTATTAAGGGCAAAAAGACGGGTGTGCTACTAAGGGCAAAAAGAACCGCACCCTTTCAAGGGCAAATAGGTGCAGACTATAAGGGCAAAAAAGAATTGTAGACTATTAAGGGCAAAATAGTTATAGAATATTAAGGGCAAAAAGAATTGTAGAGTATTGAAAATCGCATCAATTCTGATTTTGCCAAAGATCAAACGGTTGTTGGATCATCATTGTACGTTTATACTACCTCGAAATTAAGACGCAGCATTTTGTAATTATCACGTGCAATTATTGCGCCTAATCTTTAAAGGGCAAAGTTCAAAACAGCCATAGGTCTCAAGTAAAGGGTATACCGAACATGGTTTATCTGAAGTCATTTGTTGGACCTCAGTTGGCAAAACAAATGCTTACATTCATTAATCACGTTGAAAGAGAATGAATGCCATTTTTTGTTCAACACTGTCTATTAGAGTTACTTAGTTAATGAATGAAATGATAGCTTGTAATTGATGAGTACAGACTTGGATGTAATTTGTAAGTTATTTTTGTTCTGGTGTTTCTGAGCCGTTAAAATTCGATTGGTGTTGAAAACATACGCGGTAAGAGGGAAATAGCAAAATCAACATGAGGTTATTAGTGAGGTTCGTTACAGCTTACATCAGTCTTTATCACTATACATCACTTAAGCAGTCAAATTGTATGTGTTATTGGCATGGAAAAATTAATTCGACTTGATTTACATTACAAATACTCCACTGTCAGCGATTTTTTAAAGTCATGTTTTAGTTGTTTCCATCCACTGTCAGCGATTTGACGGTGGATATAAAATGTACATTCTTTAGCAAGTTGTACGATGGATGTAACGGGTAAATCGAACAAAGATGATAATTAAGAAGATGGGGCCCAAGTATTTATCTTTAATAACAAATGTACTTGAACTCTTCGTATGCATTATCCTAAATGGACCACGAGGATCAATCTCTTTAATTCTTTTAATCCGCTTAATCCTCTGTAACCCTGGTGCTCCACACCCTATCCCAGCAAAAGGTCAGTTGTTTCCATCCACTGTCAGCGATTTGACTGTGGATATAAAATGTACATTCTTTAGCAAGTTGTACGATGGATGTAAAATCACTACAGTCAGTAGTTGTGCGCGTGTGTGTGTGTGTGTGTGTGTGTGTGTTTGTGTGGTTGTGTGACTTAGACTTTTAACGAAGTTTAAATTTTTTTAGTCATTTTTTAGTTGTTTCCAAACACTGTCAGCGATTCTTTTAGTTGTTTCCATCCACTGTCAGCGATTTTTTTAGTCATTATTTTAGTTGTTTCCATCCACTGTCAGCGATTTGACGGTGGATATAAAATGTACTTTCTTTAGCAAGTTGTACGATGGATGTAAGATCACTACAGTCTGTGTGTGTGTCTGTGTGTGTGTGTGTGTGTGTGTGTGTGTGTGTGTGTGTGTGTGTGTGTGTGTGTGTGTGTGTGTGTGATTTAGACTTTTAACCGAAGTTTAAATTTTTTTAGTCATATCGCTTCGATGTCAGCAGTGGGACAATTTATAGTGATATCAAGTTTTGAGAGATCATCATGATATCCCCCGCCCCAGTCACATTATCTTGACACCAGGCCGACCAGTCGTAACACTATTTTTTAAAGTCTTTGGAATGACTCAGCCGGTGTTCGAACCAGCGACCTCCCACATCTGGGGCGGACGCTCTAAACACTAAGCCACCGTAGCGATCCAGTAGTTTTGTAAGTTGTACGATTGATATCAGATACATACAATGTTTAGTTCCTATAGCTGTACGATCGATGTACGATAAATAAACTGGTATCTAAATATGTACCATCGATTTAAAATAAATACAGTGTTTTGTAATTAAATTATGCGATCGATATAAGATACATACAGTGTTTAGTATTGATGGTTTTACAATATGAGATAAATACATTAGGTAATATCTATAGTTGCGCGATCAATTAAGGTACAGTTTTTAGTGTTCATAATTGTAATATCGATATAATATATATATATATATATATATATATATATATATATATATATATATATATATATATATATATATATATATATATATATATATATATATACGTTAGTATAGATGGTTGTACGATCGATAGAAGATGAATACACTATTTAATGTAGATAGTTGAAAGATGGATATAAGACAGATACAGTATTTAGTATGGATAGTTGTACGAAGGATATAAGATAAATACAGTATTTGGTATCTTAAAGTGTACTATCGATATAAGACAAACACATACGTACACATTATTGTATTATCGATGTAAGATAAATACAGTATTTAGTTTCTATAGTTGTTTGATATGTGTATGATAAATATTGTATTTAATGTTCATAGTTGTGCGATCAATATAAGATAGATACATTATTTAGTATCGAGTTTTTATACGATCGATGTAAGATATGTATAGTGTTTAATAATTTTAATTGTACGATCGATATAAGATAATACACTGTTTAATATCGATGTTTGTACAGTGGATATAAAATAAATATAGTATTCAGCATCCACAGTTATACGATCGATGTAAGAAAAATACAATATTTGGTATATATAGTTGTATAATTGATTTAAGAAAAATACAATCAATAACTTGTACGATCGATACAAAGCAAATACATTATTTAGTATATTTTTATATGATCAATGTAAAATAAATACATTATTTAGTATTTATACGTATATACCAAACTGAAACTGTTCTGGTTATACATGTGCAGTAATAACTTCCAGAAGCATTGGTCAGAAATTGTTAGCTTGCTGATTTGCGCTAGATTTGAGTGAATTTGAATTAGATGTGTGTGTGTGTGTGTGTGTGTGTGTGTGTGTGTGTGTGTGTGTGTGTGTGTGATTCTAGAGACGCTGTCCTGAAAAACGCCATGAATTTTTAAGAGTTATAAGTTTCATACGCGTTAAAAACTTTTTCGTACGATTTTGCCTTTGGAGTTAGTTGAAAGAGTGAAATGTCCTAGTATAACTATTTGTTTAGATGCTGATGATCTGGTTCTTTTTCATTTGTTTTTCTTTTTTTCTCTCTCTTTCTTATACGCATTAGTATTAGTAGATGCTTTGCCAGCTTCCACGGAATGAGAGGCGACAAAAAATTTGGCACTGGTTAGCGTGCTTGGAGAGCCGCGGGTCCTGAGCGATATGGTTTTGGTAGAGATGAGTTGTCCGGTAGGAAGGGTTATCCGTGTACATGAATTTTTCTCTTGGTAAGCAGGACGAGCATACGTTTTTGACCTGTTCGAGACGTGCTTGTTGATAAGGCTTTTTCTCCAATGTACATTTAAAGTTATCGTGTGTGTGTGTGTGTGTGTGTGTGTGTGTGTGTGTGTGTGTGTGCGCGCGCGTTTGTGTGTGTGAGCTTTCGTATAATGGATAGTGGCAGTTCTGTCGGAATAGTTCATTGTTCTGAGACAGATCTATAATCATGTTTTGGAATCAAGAATTGGATTAGTGGGTACGTCAGAGGGGTAATCATTTGTGATTAATGACCACACGTAGGACATTTGAGATCACTCGGGGGCGAATGATTTTCGAAGACGAGAGTTAGGAAACAAACCTAGGGCATGTACCATATTTCAAGCACGTATAGCTTTGTTAGATTTAATGTATTATTTGTTTGATTATGGGGAGTCGCTGTTGAAAATATATTTCTTATACAGAGTAATTAGCCAGTTATTAGGCGTAGACATCATACTTTACAATATTCCCATGACTTTATAAAGCATGGATGAGTTTAATAACAAGGAACCTGTCTAATTTCGTAACCTAAGAACTAAGGAACCTGTTTAATTTTGTAACCTAAGGTATTCTAGGGATTTTTTTTTATCAAGAATTGTTTAATAAATTTATGATAGTAATAATTTTGTATGTTAGGTGTTTGGGTCATGTTACATGGTTTGTATTTTGAAATACTGATCTATAGCTTTTAATGCGTAATGATAAATCTCAATATTATGAAGCAAGAAAAACCGTGCAAATGTGAATTTAAAATCTAGTGAATGTGTAGCAGTGTGTTGACTTAGAGGAAAATGATTGATATTATTAGTGTGTTTATGAATCCTTCAGTTGACAACGTCTGTTCTATTGAAATCGTTTGAAACAGGAGAAACGTCGCCCTCAAGCAAAGTCGCAGGCAGGTACGTGTTTGATACTCTAGGTAGTGACGTGCGGTAAGGTTCCTTTCATGTTATTATGTTAGTAGTTGTAATATCAACGAGAGATTAGAAGAAAAAAATACCACATTATTTAATTACAGTAGTATGTAGGTGAATTTATTTATTTTCGGGGTTGGGGTCCATTTTGTATTTTCGAAGAAATAAACAATTGTTACCGAGGCAGATGAAAAAAAACCGAGGTCATTCGTTCTTGGAGTCTTGCTTGTTATATCTCATTTTAGGCATGGTGGTTTGGATGACCATTACAGTTGATTTCCGCAGAAGTTAAATGGTTGAACAAAAAAAGTTAGCTTTTGTGCCACTAAATATTTTCAAAAGTTGTGTATGTCTGTGAGTGCTGTAAATAGACCATATAAGGATTCCATATGATACACTCATGTCGGGAAGACGACACTTATACGATTCGATACGACACTCGTGTGGAGAACATATCTGACAGCACTACACTTATTTATAAACAGAGCAATGTTAATGTGAAAAGAAAGCGATTTAACAAGAAAATATCGAGCAGTCTGACAAAACATTATTGTTATGGCCATTGATTGTGTTTTGGTACGATTCTTAACCGAAGTCTGGATGCCTTATATTAATGTCTTTCCCTGGAGTATTGGAAATTTGGAATGGTAAAGAAGTGGACTGAAGCACATTCGAATACAGAGGCAAAACAATAATCTAGATTAATTACAGACAATTATGTTAATGAAAATTAGGTAGATCGGTTCCTACTATCTGTATACGTCTGGACATTTATTTCTTACCATTATTTATCCAATGATATCCTGTGGAATCCAGTGATAAGAGTTTTCTTCTGTTTGGTATATAGGTGTAACCAGTGATAAAAGCTTTCCTTTGTGTTTGGTATATAGGTGTAACCAGTGATAAAAGCTTTCCTTTGTGTTTGGTATATAGGTGTAACCAGTGATAAGAGCTTTCCTCTGTGTTTGGTATATAGGTGTAACCAGTGATAAGAGCTTTCCTCTGTGTTTGGTATATAGGTGTAACCAGTGATACGAGTTTTCCTTTGTGTTTGGTATATTGGTGTAACCAGTGATAAGAGCTTTCCTCTGTATTTGGTATATAGGTGTAACCAGTGATAAGAGCTTTCCTTTGTGTTTGGTATATAGGTGTAACCAGTGATAAGAGCTTTCCTCTGTGTTTGGTATATAGGTGTAACCAGTGATTAGAGTTTTCCTCTGTATTTGGTATATAAATGTAACCAGTGATAAGAGTTTTCCTTTGCGTTTGGTATATAGGTGTAACCAGTGATAAGAGCTTTCCTCTGTGTTTGGTATATAGGTGTAACCAGTGATAAGAGCTTTCCTCTGTGTTTGGTATATAGGTGTAACCAGTGATAAGAGCTTTCCTCTGTGTTTGGTATATAGGTGTAACCAGTGATAAGAACTTTCACCAGTGATAAGAACTTTCCTCTGTATTTGGTATATAGGTGTAACCAGTGATAAGAGCTTTCCTTTGTGTTTGGTATATAGGTGTAACCAGTGATAAGAGCTTTCCTCTGTGTTTGGTATATAGGTGTAACCAGTGATAAGAGTGTTTGGTATATAGGTGTAACCAGTGATAAGAGCTTTCCTCTGTGTTTGGTATATAGGTGTAGCCAGTGATAAGAGCTTTCCTCTGTGTTTGGTATATACGTGTAACCAGCGACAAGAGCTTTCCTCTGTGTTTGGTATATAGGTGTAACCAGTGGCGTCACTAGAGGGTGAGGCAGGGTGTGGATTACACCGTATGATACCATGAAAAGGGGTGACACAAAAATGACTGTCTAAACAATTTTAAATTTTTTGCCCAGGATGGAGGTCCACGTGAGTAACACCATGGGTATCACCAACCCTGCTGATGACACTGCCTTCTGGGACAGTCCTTATTAAGGACTCTCGATCGATCAATCGATAGATGTTGTCGATTTGGAATAAGAATGTAACTCCTTTATCGCCACTGGGTGTAACTTTATAATTGTAATTTCATGTGCATGCCTTGCAATTCTAAATCGTAATCCAATGAATGTTTGCATTTAATTAAGTGTTAAATTCCTCTTGTCTTGCAATAAGATTTTATACAAATCGAATCCTTAATCTGTTTACACCCTATTTCGAGAATGAGCATATAATCGTGTGGGTTCGGACAAGATTGCGTGGAAGCTACATGATCTATGGTCTAAAGCGCTGTCCGTTACGGATCACTGCCATCTCACTTCTGTCTGCATGGGTTCGAGTCTAAGATTCGGCGAATGTGGATAGGTGAGAAAGCATGCCGGTAGCTTTTTGTGGGTCAAAGGTTCTTTTGGGTGATTTTCCGGTTTCTTCCTCTACCATTAATACTGGCCGCCATGTATAGCCTATCGTGTGCTGAGAAATGGCGTTAAGACCCACAAAAACAACAACTCTCTCTCTCTCTCTCTCTCTCTCTCTCTCTCTCTCTCTCTCTCTCTCTCTCTCTCTCTCTCTCTCTCTCTCTCTCTCTCTCTCTCTCTCTCTCTCTCT